GGGCACAAAAGAGAAAGTGCCGGAGGGCCGAGCGGAAGTGGCGCAAGTCCAACCTCCAGGTTGATTACGAGATCTTCAAAGATAAGTTGTGCGAGTTTAACACTAGGACCGCTGTGCTCTAAACATACCTTGCACCGCCCCCTGCGGTCAGTTGACCGCTATGTATTTTGCGCTGATACAGCCTTTTGCCAAATTGATTGTTCACTAAACCAGAATTTGTTGTTGCAAGGAAATCGTGATCATAATGAAACTGTGTAAATTATTTGTCTAAATATGCTAAGTAATTGTAATTCCAGCCGAAATAAAAAAAAATTACGAAGACTTTTCTGGCTAGATTTATTTTGTAACTTTGCAAACACGTAAAAGGTCGGTCACTATATGTTAAATTTGACTCAGTAACAATATGTAAATTCAAACAATATAAATGATAGTTTAGAGCACGGGACCATAACGTCTTCGCGCTGCTCTATGCGTCTACTTCTTACGTCATCTCCAGACTGTTTTCTCTTTCCAGCCGAAATCACTGTGGGAAATATTATCTCGATAATAATAATAGTATTCGTATTGACACAAGATCATCAGCTAGGCTACCATCGTCAATGTACAATCTTCAATTTTACACGGGACACGTTATATATATATATATATTTGTATTTATTTTTTATTTTTTTATTTATTCATTTATTTGACAGGGACAATGGAGTCATACATAGTTACATTATGAAAATGCAGCTGATGCGACACATACAGAGTGTATAGCTAATGCTAATTTTCAACTCCTGTCCCTGGTTGAGCTTTTCCCTACAGTGCAACACATTATACAGAATGAATAAAATAGGCCTAGCCCTAAAACACATATTTACAACAGTGATCTAAAATTAAGACATTCGAGACAAGCAGTGCTCTTTATGATCAGAAGAAAATCAGTGCTCTTTATGATCAGAAGAAAATTATAATCAATGCCTTGCAGTGCGCTCTGTGCAGAATAACACAGTGTTATCTGGATGAAATAAGAAAGAGATCCTTATTGATATGATATGAGGGCCGCTTCTGCCACAGTCGCTCTCCTCCTGCAGTGTCCGCGGGTGACGAGAGGCCTCACAGCGCTCTATCCGCACTCTGCCTTGATAGTTCATCTAATTGTTCTATTTTATTGCGATATTGTATTCTGCTTTATTGCCTTCTTCTATGTATAAATATAAGAATGTAATTGATGATGAATGAAAAAGCAGAATGGAGCAACAGCGCGCACACAGACACCTGCGTGTGGCTGGCATTACGCACGCTCATGTGCGTTATTGCTTCTGGACTTGTTCCAACACTGCTGTCCGTGCCGTGAATGCACTACGGGTTTACGTTCAGATTTAGAATATTATAGGTGTTCTCCCCGCTGTGACATCTCACCTCCGTCAGACTGTTCTCATTCAATGTCTTGAAGCACTGTCTGGGCTTCATACCGTGTACTTGCAGCTCTATTCATGTTGTACTCCTCTCAATTCAAAACTCTTTCTCTCTCCCAAATAATAAAAAAAACCTCAAGTCCCTTTAGAGTCTAATGACAACATATTGATACATTTGTATAAGGCGCGAAAAACCCCCGGGAAAGGTTACTATGACAACAGTCGCCCCTGCGCCATGTATCCCTATGGGGCAGCAGAAAGGGCTGTGGTTTAGAAAAGTTAAAATGCGTGTAAATCTTGTTTTCTTTACTTTTTCCAAAAACAAAACACACCAAAATATAAACAACAAGTACCCAGTAAAAGTCATAAAATTTCAACTTCTGGCGTTTTGTTTTGAATACACTAATTAGCATATTAAAGTGAGTGACGGTCAGTTGACCGCTAGGGGCGCTCCTAGTGTTAACCGGGTGCTACGTAGTACGAGAGAAAGGTATTTTTCTGAAATGATTGAAGGCTGCAGCAACAATCTGCGTGTTCTGTTTTCAACAGTTAATAGATTAACAAACCCCCCTGTTCAGATGCCATTAGAGCTAACTTCCAAACGTAAATGCAATGAGTTTGCTAATTTTTTCAATGACAAGGTTCAAGGCATCAAAAACGCCATTGTCTCCAATCCACAGATAACCATCCAACAGCCAGAAAGGCTCTTTGAGCTAATACTTTGCACCTGTAAATGATCAAACTGTCCAAGAGATAATCTACAGTTTGAGCTCCTCCACATGCAGCTTGGATGTACTACCCACTAGATTTCTGAAGTCTGTTCTGAGCAGTCTGTTACCTTCACTCACACAGATAGTAAACATGTCCCTTCATTCTGGAATATTCCCAAAGGCCCTGAAAACTGCAGTCATCAGGCCCCTGCTAAAAAAGAGCAGTCTCGATGCTACGGTACTTAACAACTATCGTCCCATCTCAAATCTGCCATTTATGGGGAAAGTCCTTGAGAAAGTTGTCTACCTACAGCTTACTAGATTTCTAATAATCAACAACTATTTTGATATGTTTCAGTCCGGCTTTAGACCCCACCACAGCATGAGACTGCTCTCGTTAAGGTTACAAACAATATCCGGCTGAACACTGACGCAGGCAAAGTCTCAATCTTAATCTTGTTAGATCTAAGTGCTGCCTTTGACACTGTCGACCATGAGATCCTCTTACAGAGATTAGAGGACTGGGTTGGAGTCGCTGGCACCTAACCTGGCAAGAGCCAGATTGATGATTGTGTAGAACTCTAACGCGTTCTCCGCGATATCAATCTGGGATTTCTCACGGAGAATCCTTTCGGGGAAAGGAGGGATAAGCAGCAGAATACTTGAAGCTGATTGGGCGAAGTGACGCTGTGTGCCCGCCTACCAAGGTTTGACTTACGTAGGTAAAAATGCACAAACATCTTTGCCGTCCAGAAATGCACAAAGCGCCTCTCGCTGTTCATCTTTCAAAAAAGAAATTGGAGATTCTGCTAAAACTGACTTGATAGCCTCAGCTACGCGTCCGTCCTCCTGCGTAGCCATGTTTGTTTTGCTTCGGCCCGGCACTTCTTGCTTTCGTCAAACCCGGATATCCCGCCCTAAACCCCCAGACTGGTGCGTGATTGGCTCGCACACCCAGTGGTTCGACTCGAAAAGTGTAAGCGGGAGCGGTACAAGATGTATTCTCGAGTGTTTGTGAACTCACAAATACCGCGAGAATTCAGCTTGCAGGCAAGGTTAGCTGGCACCGCCCTAAGTTGGTTTAGGTCTTACCTTGAGGACAGGAAGTACTTTGTGGAGATTGGAAACTGTGTCTCAGATCATATGGCCCTGACCTGTGGAGTACCACAGGGGTCGATCCTGGGACCTCTTCTGTTCAATCTCTACATACTGCCGTTAGGTCAGTTAATACGTAGAAACAAAGTGTCCTATCACAACTATGCAGACGACACTCAGATCTATGTCTCACTGACTGCAGGAGAACATGGACCAGTGGACTCATTCCTTCACTGTATCCAACAGATCAGTGAGTGGATGCAAAACAACTTCCTTCAGCTAAACGCAGACAAAACTGAAATGATTGTCTTTGGTCCCCAGAAACAAAGAGAGAGCGTCATCTGTCACCTACAGTCTCTCTCCCTAAAACCTTCAAACAAGGTCAGTAATCTAGGGGTAATACTGGACTCAGACTTAAATTTTAATAGCCACATCAAATCAGTAACATCAGCAGCTTTTTACCATCTAAAAAACATTGCCAGGATCAAAAACATAGTGTCTAAAGCAGACCTGGAGATTCTTATCCATGCATTTGTCTCCAGTAGGTTAGACTACTGCAATGGCCTGCTCATAGGTCTGTCCAAACAGGCTGTAAAACAGCTGCAGTACATCCAAAATGCAGCAGCTCGAGTCCTGACTAGAACCAGGAAGTACGACCACATTAGTCCTGACTAGAACCAGGAAGTACGACCACATTAGTCCTGACTAGAACCAGGAAGTACGACCACATTAGTCCAGTTCTCAGGTCTCTGCACTGGCTTCCTGTGGCTCAGAGAATAGACTTTAAAACAGCTCTGCTTGTGTACAAGTCTCTCCATGGCCTCGCACCAAAATATATTAGTGACATGTTAGTCCCATATGAACCAGCCCGGACTCTGAGGAGCACAGGGACTGGACTCCTGTTAGTGCCCAGAGTCAGAACTAAACATGGGGAGGCTGCTTTTCAGATTCATGCTGCTAAAATCTGGAACAATCTTCCTGAAGATGTGAGACAGGCCTCCTCTCTGACAATGTTTAAAACCAGGTTAAAGACAGTTCTGTTTAGCTGTGCATACAACTGAGGGATTTTATATTTTTATCTTTCTATTTAATGTTCTGTGATTATTTATGATTTTAATGCTTTCTTGTTTTGTTCAGCACTTTGAATTGCCTTGTGTATGAATTGTGCTATATAAATAAACTTGCCTTGCCTTGTGTGTGTGTGTCTGTGTGTCTGTGTGTGTGTGTGTGTGTGTGTGTGTGTGTGTATCTGTGTGTCTGTGTGTGTGTGTGTGTGTGTGTGTGTGTGTGTGTGTACCTGTGTGTGTGTGTGTGTGTATGGATGAATACTTTTGCAGATGACACAGGTGTTTTTGTGTCGTTTTATTGAATGGTCCTTCCAAGGAGGAGGGGCCTAAGATAGAGCCTTGGGGAACACCCTCCCACAGGAACCAGAAAGGGTCTCTGGTTTCTAGTCTCTCTCTGGTCTCTCTCTGGTCTCTCTCTGGTTTCTCTCTGGTCTCTCTCTGGTCTCTCTCTGGTCTCTCTCTGGTCTCTCTCTGGTCTCTATCTGGTCTCTCTCAGGTCTCTCTCTGGTCTCTCTCTGGTTTCTCTCTGGTCTCTCTCTGGTCTCTATCTGGTCTCTATCTGGTCTCTCTGGTCTCTCTCTGGTCTCTCTGGTCTCTCTCTGGTCTCTAGTCTTTGGTCCATCCCTGGTCACTTGTCTCTCTATGGTCTCTCTCTCTGGTCTCAGGTCTCTTTCTGGTCCCTCCCTGGTCTCTTTATGCTCTTTGGTACCTCTCACAGGTCCCCCTGGTCACTTTATGGTCTCTGGTCTCGCTCTGGACTCTGGTCTCACCTGGTCCCACTGGCCCTGGGACCATATGTTGAGGACCACACATGTCTCTGGTTTCCCGCCATCTTCTCGGTCACTGATTCCTTTGCACGAGACGCGGAGCTCCACTTTGGTAAGACACGCCCCCTCCATCATCGACAGCGAATCAGGTTCCAGTATCTGGGGGGCGGGGCTAATGTCCGAGGGCAGGGGGGAGGGGCTTCTGCGCGGCGAGGCGCTGCTATCTGTCAACGGAAACAGGAAGTGACTTTAACCAATTACAATCTGACCCAGACCCAGGCCCCTCCACTGGCTCCTCTCCGTTGGGAGGAGCAGCGTCTCTACTCCGAGCTCGACCTCTTCTTTCTGTTCTAAATTTACCACAAAAAACTCTAAGATTTTGATTCACTTTTATCACTTAGAAAGAGACCAGAGAGAGACCAGAGAGACCAGAGAGACCAGAGAGAGAGACCAGAGAGAGAGACCAGAGAGAGAGACCAGAGAGAGACCAGAGAGAGACCAGAGAGAGAGACCAGAGAGAGACTAGAGAGAGACCAGAGAGAGACCAGAGAGAGACCAGAGAGAGACCAGAGACCAGAGAGAAACCAGAGAGAGAGACCTTTCAGTCTTTACCTAAAGCTCAGAGGAGAGGCATCAGACGCTGCTCCCTCATGGTCAGAGGTGAGAGAGGGACCAACTGTATGTTTTCATTCATTTGGACAATATCCTCCATAGTGACAAATAAGTAAACCTACAGTCTCAGTCCTGGGTCTATAGTCTCAGTCCTGGGTCTACAGTCTCAGTCCTGGGTCTACAGCCTCAGTCCTGGGTCTACAGCCTCAGTCCTGGGTCTATAGTCTCAGTCCTGGGTCTACAGTCTCAGTCCTGGGTCTACAGCCTCAGTCCTGGGTCTACAGCCTCAGTCCTGGGTCTAAAGCCTCAGCCCTGGGTCTACAGCCTCAGTCCTGGGTCTACAGCCTCAGTCCTGGGTCTACAGCCTCAGTCCTGGATCTAAAGCCTCAGTCCTGGGTCTACAGCCTCAGTCCTGGTCTTGGATCGATGGAAGCAGTGCTAGATCTATTGTTTTTTTCAAAAACACACATTTTAAAGTTTGCATTTTAAACTAGAAAAGCACTCGCAGAGTTCCCCTCTAGGCTTCCGCCTAGAGGGGAACTTGCATTCGTTCATCCTGCATCCAGATGGTGAATTAAACATTCTCTAGATCCTGTTGCAGATCATACAACGATAAACTATTCATTCATCGCCTCTGGGTCTGGGTCTGGACCGGGACTGAGACTGAATTTGGTCTGGGTCCAAGTCTGGGTCCAAGTCTGGGTCAGAGTCTGGGTCCGAGACTGGGTTCGAGTCTGAGAGTCCATCACGCTGTTCTCACCCGAGTCCAGGTCCATGTCGCGGGTGTGAGAGGCTCCTGTGCGGGTGTGAGAGGCTCCTGTCCGGGAGTGAGGGCTCCTGTCCGGGGGTGGGTGAGGGGAGAGCCAGGCAGACAGTCCCCGAGTGAAGCTGGAGCTGAGTGAACGCGCGCAGAGGCTCCAGAGCGGAGAGAGGAGAGAGAGGGGAGTGTGGAGGAAAGGTGACACCTGCTGGAGACAGGTGGAACTGCAACTACTAAGAAGGCATTAAAGGTACTGCAATCTCACTAAAGCTGGGGTCTGTAACTTCAGCTTATGTGTAAGACAGACCCCCGTGAGTCAGTATCTGCCTCTTTGGGCTGAGTGAGGGTGGTCCCCTCTTTGGTCTAAACATGTGACATCACAAATACATGATTTGATGTATTTTAGAGCCAGAACCATAGACAAGGGTTTAATACAGAGGTCTGAGAGTTTTAGACCCCAGCTTTAAAGTTACAGACCCCAGCTTTAAAGATGCTATACCCAATTTTTTTCTAAGTAGTTCATAAAATGCGTATTACTTCAGACAAGTTGTATTATAATCTTTAATTGAATGTAAAACTTGAGCTCATAGATTCAGCTGTGTATGACCTCAGTAAAAAGTGCTGAGTAGAGACTTAGCGTGACGCCCGCTCTCCTCCAATCACAGAACGAGGCTGCGTCCTCTAGCCTCTACAGCGCTGCTAAACACTAGGGCTTCGACTTCGAAATTTGAATATAATTTGAAAATTTGAAGAAGATGACAAAGTCTGGGATCGCGTCTTTAATTCAGACAGAAGACATGTTTTATTGTCGATGGTAGAGACAGCACGAACAACACGAACAACAGAATGCAAGTGTATTATACAGAGCGGAGGCATGGAGACCTCCAATCAGCAGCTGCCACAGTGCCATGTAGCTTGGCCTTCAGATAGACAAAACAAGGGAAAAGTACTGGCTTCTGCACATTGATAGAATGATGAGTTTAACTTTAACAAAAGTTGCTTCAAAGTGTTATGAAATCTCACAAATTAAAAAACATATATAATTCGAAATGTATGTAATGACTGTGAATAAAATAGTTATCTCCCAAAGGTTTCACCGGGACGTGCTAGGCAGGTAACGGCTAAGCTAGCTAGCTCAAAAACTCTCTGGAACTACATGAAAACTGAACAAAGAATTCTGTAATCAGCGGTGAGTTACCCATTTATATACCGAACCTAAATCCATCAGATCCTCTTCAAATGTGTCCTAAATGGTTGAGCACGCTAGCTTCTCTGCACAGACAGAAGCAGAGACAGTAATGTGAGTATTTTACACAGCTGAAGATTGCGTTGCCAAAGGGCGGCGCTCATTATTGGTTTGAGAGTTCTGTTATCAAGAAAAAATGATCGGTGGAACGTTTTGAAATGACATTCAGGTCAATGGAGTGTTCTGCTGCTGCTGTGAGGAACTGTGTAATAAATTAATTAAATATTCTAATGTATTCTGATGTCTAAATGAATACATTCGGATGTGAAACTAGCGGTATTCTTTTACATAATATTTTTTTAGCAGTGCGTTGCTTTATTGCCATTTCATCAGTGATTGTTGTACAGCTTAAGTTGCGCTAATGCTAATGTTAGCATATGTATCAGATCGCAAATAAAACTAGATGGCTCTGTGTTATGAGAGCGTAGGGGAAATGAGAAGCCTGTGAGCGAGTTGGGGGCGGGACTAAACATTCAAACCTGCAGAAACGTGTATAGCTCCTTTAAACAGACCCCGGCTTTAAAGTCACAGACCCCAGCTTTAAAGTCACAGACCCCAGCTTTAAAGTGACAGCTGCTTACTGTCAAACTGTATGTGGCAAGCTGGACTTGGCCACCATATTTGTGTCCACCAGATGGCGCATACGGGCAGTATAAATAGCATAGATTTTAGTAAGTGTGTGTGCGTGCGTGCGTGCACTTGTTTTCAACTCCTGGTGGGTTCCATAACCTGAGATTCCACTCACGTCATGGGGACTGGTTTTACGTGGTGGGGCCCGAACACCGGACCCCACTGGTCCAAGCTTAATAATCAATGGGTAATGCTTTTCTAACGGTCCTTATGCAGTCTCTGTAAAAATATGGAAAGGACCCCTGGAGGTTTACTTTCCTGAAAAAAGTGTGTTATGTGTCGGAACCCTGGTGGTGGGTTGCGGAATATCAAGGAGGGGCACACTGGGGCAATTTCAGTCCAGCAGCCTGGAGCCAATCATGGAGCAGCACAACAGAGGAAATCAGGTGTCAGGCTTGAAAAGGTGCAAGTGTGTGGTTCATTAGGCTGCAAGAAATCATGGAGGAGCACACTGAAGCGCACGCTTACAAACCACTGGTAAGTGCTGACTACAAGTCATGACTTCAAATTGTTATATAGAATTATTACAAATTATTTGTTGTTTGTGCAGCTTAGTCAAGAGTCCCTAATTGATGAAGTCGACTCAGATTCTGATGATTTAACTGTCAAGAAGAAACCTGTAAAAAAGTATGGAAAAAGAAAAATCAAAAACACTTTTCTTCAAGACTCGTAAAGTGACGAACCAAAGGCAAATAAGATTGTTATCATGCAGCTGCAAAAGAAGAAAAATGGGGGGCGAGTTTACAGCAAGAGACACTTCTGCCTCTACTGTTCAATGTCCTGCCACAAAATGTCCCGTCATTTGACTAGAAAACATGGAAATGAAAGTGACGTAGCCAGAGCATTGGCTCTACCTGTGAAATCTAAAGCACGTAAACTTCAGTTTGATTTGATCAGGAATAGTGGAAACCGTGAGCACAATGTTGAGGTTTTAAAGGCCGGCATTGGAACTTTAGTCCCAGCTAAACAGCCAAATTCCCCAGTTAAATCCAGTGAGTTTTTGCACTGTATAGACTGTGGGGCATTGCTTAAGCGAAAGTCGCTGTGGAGGCATGTGGCCAGGTGCCGGCTTTCACAGAAAGATGCCCAGGCTAAACCAGGTAGAAGTAGGGTCCAGTCCCTCTGCTCCCTAGCCCAGCCTGTACCGGAGGGCATCAGCTGTGGTCTTTAATTTGGGCAATGCATCAGGATGAGGTCACGGGTGTTGTCAAAGCAGAAAAGGGGATTCTGAGACTCTGAGAGCACCTCTACTTAAAACACGGGCATGATAAGACTAAGCATGATTACATTAGGCAGAAAATGAGAAGTCGGTAGGTTAATTAACGAAGCAAAAACCGCAGGGAAACTGAAAACAAGGATTTCTTTATTCCTTCCAACTTTAACCATGTGATTGATGCAGTCAGGTCTGTGGCTGGATATGATGAGGAAACAAATCAATACAAGACTCCATCCTTGGCCCTCAAACTCGGCCATAGCCTCAGAAAGCTAGCAGATATTCTTGAATGTGACTCAAAAATGGAGCATTGTGTTGATGAACTATTTATTAAAAACCTCCAACAAAGCCGGCTGCTTTTTGAGAAGAGGTGGGACGTCTGTGTTTCTTCTGCTGCCCTACAGACCCTCCGGTAAGCCAAGTGGAACACTCCGGACCTGCTCCCTCTGACTGAGGACGTTAGAGCCATGCATGCACATATTGAGGTATGTCGACCTGAATATGTGCAAACCCTAATAAGTGAGCCAACCTCTAAGCATTGGTCTAAACTGGCAGTTTTGACTCTTTGTGAGGTCATTATTTTCAATCGAAGGGAAGGTGAGGTTTCAAAGATGCTACTGACAGCGTTTACCTTAAGAAGTAGGACTGGGATCCATTCTGACATTGCTCTGGGACTGTCCGAACTTGAGAAAAAGCTGCGTCAGCATTTTCAACGCATTGAAATTAAAGGGAAAAGAAGTGGGAAAGTGGTTCTTTTGACTCCTGAAATGATTGCTTGGATGGAGGTGCTGGTGGAGAACAGAAGGGCCTGTTCCATCTCTGACCATAACCCATACTTCTTCTCCCGCCCGGGCGCAGACACCCACATCAGGGGATCAGACTCCCTACGGCAGGTAGCCAAAGAATGTGGTGCGGTGCATCCAGAGATGCTATCCTCAACCAAACTTAGAAAGCCCATAGCTACTATGTCTACAGTTCTCAATATGAAAGAGAATGAAATGGACATACTAGCCAACTTCCTCGGCCATGACATTCTCATCCACAGACAATATTACAGACTACCAGAGGGGACACTGGAGCTGGCCAAAATCAGCAAAGTGTTGATGGCCATGGAGCAGGGAAGAGTGACGGAATTCAAAGGAAAGAGCCTCGACCAGATACAAATTGAGCCTGAAGGTAATTCTTGATATTATTAAAATATGTATGATTTTTTTCCCCTAAAGGCCACTTGTATTTTTATTTTCTGTTCGACAGGGAGAGCAGTAGAGATCCTCTCACAAACGGACGGGCTAAAAGAAACTTCAAGCGGAGAACCTTCAACCATTCATCCAGATGCACCCTGTTAAATACTGAAATGACCACGGAATACCAGCGTGTTGTAGGCTTGGACTTTACTGCATAACAACAACGTTACATTCACTTCCTGTAGTGTCAAGGTACGTAGGCAGACAACATAACAGACTCAGACCATATAGAACGATGTCAGAGCAACCGATGTCAATACTCTACAACTCCTCCTTTTCTAGATAACAAGTACAGTAAGCAGTATAACCTTTACCACTTAAAATAGAACTAAAGTGATACTAATGCAACAGCAGTTTACTTAAAAGGATAGTCTCTTGGGAGGTCTGTGAGTACGCATTGGATAAGGTCTCTCAGGTGTAACCGCCGGGCTCGCCCCAGCTCTAGGGAGACCAATGCGTGGGGTCAGGGGCGGACCAGGGCTTGGCAGACACCCCATGTCGCTGTCGGAGCTTTGCAGGTTCCGGCTGTCTTGGCCTGCGGTGGAGCTAGGCAGGCTCATGGTCTCTGGAGTAGCGCTGGCAGTTGGCAGGCTCAGGTCCCCCTGAGCAGCGATGAATGAAGCAGCAGGATCCACCATCTCCGCTGCAGTGCGTACCTCTGACCCCCGTAGTTGATCAAGGTGGCGTCGCCAGATAGTGTCCGGAGCTACTTCTACAGTGTAGGACAAGGGCCCTTGCCTCTCTCTGATTATACCGGGAATCCACTTGTGTTCTCCACGGTAATCCCTGGCAAGCACAGTCTGTCCAATTTCCAGTTGACGCGTTTCTCTATTGTGAGTCCCTTTACCCTGCTTGATCTGACGATCCATTACCGTCCGTCGCAGGTTCGGCTTTAGCAGGTCCAGTCTTGAGCGCAGCCCCCGTCCCAGGAACAGCATGGCAGGGGTTCGGTTAGTAGTAGCATGAGTGGCGTTACGGTAGGCAAACAGGACGTTGGCTAACTTCTGCTGAAGAGAAATGGGTGCATCCGCAAAGGCTCGCAGACCTTGTTTTAGAGTTTGTACAAACCTCTCGGCGAGCCCATTAGTAGCCGGATGGTAGGGAGCTGATGTTATGTGGCGGATTCCATTCAGCTTCATAAACATCTGAAATTCACTAGCTGTGAATTGAGGACCATTGTCACTCACCAACTGTTCGGGGATACCAGTTCTAGCAAAGAGACCTCTCAACACTGATTGTGTTGGCTGTTGTCGTGGATTTCATGGGGAACACTTCTGGCCACTTTGAACATGCATCGACCACTACAAGGAATGTTTTATTCATGAATGGCCCGGCGAAATCAATGTGTATCCGTTGCCATGGCGATGTGGGCCATTCCCATGTATGGAGGGGTGCCACTGTCGGTTCGTTCTGTACACGCTGGCACCCAGGACAATGTGCTGCGAGCTGTTCTATCTGTTGGTCAATCCCTGGCCACCAGACATAGCTCCTGGCGAGTGCCTTCATCTTCACCACTCCCAGATGACCACTGTGTAACTCTTCCAGCACCCTGGACCTGACCTTGGTGGGTATGATGATCCTCATTCCCCACATAAGGCACCCAGAGTCAATAGCAAGCTCATCCCGGCGTTGGAAATATGGAGCGAGGAAAGACCTTTCACTAGCTGCCCAGCCTGTCTGCGTTGCTTTGTACACTTGTGAGAGAGTCGCATCTTTCCGGGTCTCTCTCTCAATCATCTCCGCTGTCACTGGGAGGCTTTCGATCTGCATGAGCGTGAACATCGCCACTGATTCTTTGTCTCCTTTTGTGCCTGTTGCGGTGTCGAGTGGCAACCGAGACAACCCGTCTGCATTGGCGTGATTTAGTGTGCTCTTGAATTCAATCTTGTACCGATGCCCTCCCAGGAACAGGGCCCAACGCTGCATGCGTGCCGCTGCGGTCATGGGGATAGCCTTATGGGGGTTGAATATTGAGACCAGTGGTTGATGATCGGTCACGAGGGTGAACTCCCTGCCGTATAAGTACTGGTTAAATCGTTTTACGCCCCAGACCAGGCCCAGTGCCTCCTTGTCTATTTGGGAGTAATTTTTCTCAGCCGAGGACAGGGAGCGGGAGGCAAACGCTATTGGTCTCTCAGTGCCGTCCCGCATGACATGTGACATAACGGCCCCTATACCATACGGTGACGCGTCGCATGCCAACTTCACAGGCAAGGACGGGTCGTAGTGTGTGAGCACTGTCTCTGATGTCACCAGCCTTTTCACTTCCTGGAAGGCCTGTTCGCATTCCTTGGTCCATTTCCATTTCCGTTCTGCCTGGAGTAGTTCGTTCAGAGGATGGAGCACTGTAGACAGGTTAGGCATGAACCGGTGGTAGTAGTTGATGAATCCAAGGAACGATCTCAGTTGCTGTACATCCTGTGGCTGAGGAGCCTTCATGACGGCATTGATCTTTTCTTTGCATTTATGCAAACCCTGTGCATCAATGGTGTGGCCGCAGTATGTGATACATGGTTTGAAAAACTCACACTTGTCACGTCTAGCCCGGAGTCCGTAATCTTGAAGTCTCTGTAAGACCTTATGGAGGTTCTCCAGGTGTTCGTTATCGTTGGCCCCAGTCACAATTATATCATCTAAGTAACACTGTGTACCTGGAATCCCCTGCAACACCTGATCCATAGCACGCTGCCAGATAGCCGGGGCTGAGGCCACTCCGAACACTAACCTGTTGTAGCGGTACAAGCCCTTCAGAGTATTGATGGTCAGGAACATCTTCGAGTCTTCCTCTATCTCCATCTGTAGATAGGCCTCCGCCAGGTCCACCTTGGTGAACCGCTTTCCACCAGCCAGGTTTGCAAAAATGTCCTCGATCCTGGGAAGTGGATATTGTTCTGCTTGTAGCACAGGATTGATTGTGATTTTGAAGTCCCCACACACCCTCACTGCCCCTGACTTCTTTGCTACTGGGACAATGGGTGTGGCCCATGGGCTCCAGTCAACTTTAGACAGGATTCCGTCGGCCTCTAGGCGGTCCAGCTCCGCTTCCACCTTCTGTCGTATGGCGTACGGAACTGGCCGTGCTTTGTGGAAACGTGGAATGGCCCCGTCTTGAAGAACAATTTTGCCCTTTATGTTTTTTAATGTCCCAATTCCATCTTGGAATACAGGCGTTGCAGCCACCAAGACTGTCTCCAATTTGACCTCTGTGGACTTGTCGGTGGTGTTTGGCGCCACCTGCAGGCTTTTAATGGACTTCCAATCCAGCTGTAATTTCCTCAGCCAGTCTCGGCCCCACAGTGCTGGTCCTCCTCTTTTTACAATGTACAAGTCCAATGTGCATTGTTGGCCATTGTGTTGTACCTCCACCGGCAATACGCCGAGGGGCTTGATTTTCTCTCCAGTATATGTCTTTAGGAGGACAGATGACGAGTTCAGCTTCTGGTCTCCAAAGTACTGCACAAAGTCACTGTGCGCCATCACTGACACTGCAGAGCCGGTATCCAGTTCCATCTTCACTTGTTTTCCATTCACCTGGGGTGTGAGCCAGATCGCTTCCCGGCCACCACCTTTAGCATGGTACACATCCAAGCAGTTTGTATGTTCACTTTCGTCCGATTCCTCACCTGCAGTTTCCTCTATATTGTACACTTTCTTGTTCTTGTGTGCATTCCACTGCGTCTTCCTCTCACTTTTATTCACTCTTGACTTTCCTGAGCGACAAACTCTCTGAATGTGCCCTGTCTTGTTACATAGTCTGCAGATTTCATCCCTAAATCTACACTGTGAAGGGGAATGGAAGCCCCTCCCACACCTGTAACACGGTTCACGCTCTCTTTCTTGTGGGACTGTTGCCATTTTATTCACATTTATTGCCTTTACTCCTGTTTGCAGTTCAACGGCATCTCTGGCTGCCGTTTCCATTGAGACTGCGATTTCAACTGCCCTTTTGTAAGTGAGCTTATCCTCGGTAAGCAGTCTCTTCTGTATGGCCTCGTTCAGAATACCGCATACCAAGCGGTCTCTCAGCGCATCATCCAGTCCCTGTGCAAATTCACAGTGCTCAGTAAGTCTCTTCAGCTCAGCCACATAACTAACAATAGATTCTCCCTCATGTTGATTTCGCTTGTGGAATCTAAAACGCTCAGCAATTAGTAGCGGCTTTGGCGATAAATGTTCTTTCATCACTTTCACCAATTCATCAAAAGTCTTGTCTGATGGCTTATCTGGTGCAGTCAAGCTCCGCAACAGGCCGTATGATCTTCCCCCCATTGCACTCAGCAACACTGCAACATGTTTCTCCGCTGCTATGTCATTTGCCACAAAATACTGGGAAACGCGTTCAGTATACTCGACCCAGTCATCCGTTGTGCTGTCAAACGGGTCTATCGATCCAACTCTCGCCATCTTGTCACGCTGTGTATGCACACTCTTCCGAGTCACTACTGTCTGTTTCAATATGCTGCTCCTGTGAGACAGTAGAATCGCTCATCGCCGAGACATGGGTCCACTGTACAACCACCTCGTCGCCACTGTTAAATACTGAAATGACCACGGAATACCAGCGTGTTGTAGGCTTGGACTTTACTGCATAACAACAACGTTACATTCACTTCCTGTAGTGTCAAGGTACGTAGGCAGACAACATAACAGACTCAGACCATATAGAACGATGTCAGAGCAACCGATGTCAATACTCTACACACCCCATGGTAGTGGCAGTGCCCCTTCTGGTAAGTGTACCAGGTGGGGGATTACAGCCAGGCTGCTTGGTCCTAACCCTGGGAGTGTATATTTCTAATATATTTTTATTTCTCTCCCTAGAACGTGTAAGAAAGCCATGGTCTGCATCTGAGGTGAAGGCTGTGGAGAAGACCATGACACCTTTCATACAGACTGGAAAGGTCCCTGGGAAGTCTCACTGCCTGGCCTGGCCTGGCCTGCATTAATGCCTCACCAGATGACCTTAGACATCGGACATGGAGTGGCATTAAATTCTATGTCAAAAATGGAATCACTGAAATTCGAAAAAAAAATCAAAAATAAAATTCCTTTAAAAGAGTTGTTTGTTTTCTATTGACTGTTTTGTATTACTTAAAGTAGTCCCAGTAAAAAAAGATTATGTCTATGGGTCCCATTCTGAACGGCCCTGTCAAAGGGACCCACCAGGTAACAAAAACGTGTGTGTCGTCGCGCCAGCCCTCCTCCTGCGCCAGGTAGTAGTTTTAGTGTCAATTCTAATAATTGTAAGATTCAGCCACTAATGTTGAATTGTTGTTGTAGTGCCGCGGTGTGGCATTGTGCCCCACGAGTCCTCTTTGTGCACGGCCACACTGTCCAGTCGCTTGGTGTCTGGCCGCCCTCATTGCTGGGGTCCGAGTGCGTCGTAGCCGGCTGTTGGTCTGGGCCTGTAAACCGCTACTCGTCAAGAGTGCGCGCTCAGTGTTGGCTGTGGAAATGTAGGTCTTAGCTGCACACACTGACAGCATTGTGGTTATGATAATTTAACTCTACTTTAATTCGTAGGCTGAGGACTGGCCACACCGCGGCCCACCGCTGTTTCTCCTGTCTCTCGTTTCTCACCATGTTGTGTGTTGTTCACCTGTACCCCTGAGTCCTTTGCGACAGGAAATGTGACAACGTGTGAAACCTAAAGAGAAGACTATCACAACTTAATAAATCAAAGTAAACTTAATGTCTGTCTGCCCCTTTATGATTTACGAACCTGTGCGCCTTAGAGCGCTTTATATTTTATTTTGGGCACTTTGCCCTGGCGTTGCTAGTTTTTCTTTCTCATTTATATTTTCATATTAAGGAGCGCGTAGCAGCCTCCACTTTGCCACATATAGAATGAATAATAGTTGAAATAATGACAGAAGGTTAGAGATTTTTATTTGAATGAAACAGGATAATTTTTCAAGTTCATCCGACAAAGAATGTCTCTCTTTGGTCTCTCTGGTCTCTCTCTGGTCTCTCTCTGGTCTCTCTCTGGTCTCTTTGGTCTCTCTGGTCTCTCGCTGGTCTCTCTCTGGTCTCTCTCTGGTCTCTTAATATTTTTTAATGGACAAAATGCGAAATTATTCCTTCATACTCCCCCTCTCCTCACTCTCCTCCCTCCCCTCACTCATCTCCCTTCTCCTCTTCCTCCTCCTCACCCCTCTCCTCACCCTCTCATCACCCCTCCCCTCACTTCTCCCCCTCTCCCCCCTCCTCTCCATTGGGACTCAGGTACTCAAAGGCCTTCTGGCTCTGAGACACAAACTGTCTCAGTGGCGCCATCAGGAGGTCAGTGGCAGAAGGCCGGCGGGTGGCGGGCACTTCGATGGCAGGGGGCGGGACTTCTTGTTCCTCTGATTGGCGGGTGGGCTCTGGACTTTGAGTGCCACGAGCGGCGAGCGAGTAGAGGCTGCGGCGGCGGCGAGGACGTCCGTCCATAGCCTTCAGGAACAGACTGTGACCACATGGTTAGAGTCTAGAACCTTCTAATCTCACATACAAACAAGCAACGCCCTATTCCCCTGTTAGCATTAGCTCAACTGTTAGCATTAGCTCATCTGTTAGCATCAGCTCACCTGTTAGCATCAGCTCACCTCCTGTTAGCATCAGCTCACCTCCTGTTAGCATCAGCTCACCTGTTAGCATCAGCTCACCTGTTAGCATTAGCAGAGCTGCGGCGGGACGAGCTGTTGGACGTGAAGTCGTGTTGGTTCAAAAAGTCTTCAACCTCCTGCTCTGACGGCTGCTGAATCTGAGGAAAAATACAATTATTCATACTACTACTACTACTACTACTACTGCTACTGCTACTGCTTCTATGGTGTTGGTTGGAGGCCGTCATCACTGTGTGGAGTGAATGGAATAATCTCTCTGAACTTTGTAAAGTGCTTTGGGTGACCTTGGTCTGTGATATGCACTATATAAATAAACATGACTTACTGCTACTACTACTACTGTTACTACAATCACTACTGCTACTACCACTATTAATATTAATACTGCTACTAGTGCTACTACCACTGGGGAATCTCTATTATTAGCCTTTGGGAAACACAAGATGGCCGCCATGTGAACACAAGATGGCCGCCACTCACCAGGCTGTAGAGCGGTGTGGCGTTGATCAGCAGCTGCAGCAGGAGTTTGCTCAGCTCCTGAAGGTCCCGGACCAGGTTTTGGATCTGGTCTGGCAGCTCCAGCACCGTCTGGACTGGACCAGACTGAACCAGGAGCTGAGCCCGCGTCCGAATCTCCACCACCGCTGACTCCCTCAGGTTCTCGCCGCGGTATAACAGCGCCACCACCAGGCTCTGGAGGGACTGCAGCAGGTCTCCAGCCAAGTTCAGAACCAGGCCCAGACCCACCTATTCAGACACCTGTGTTAGACAATGCTATAGCAGTACTGCTACTGATGCTGCTATTGCTGCTACTGCTACTGCTACTGCAGCCATTCCCAAACTCAGTAACACCGAGGCCCCCTTAAAAATCTGACGGGTCTGCGTGGCCCCCCAAAATAATAACCAAGAAGACAACATTAAGAATAGGCTCTTCTGGTTATTTTATTTTGGGGAAATAGCCTCTGCTACAAACATTGTAATACAAAAATGATTACAGTGGATTATTCAAGTCAAATAATGAACACAAATATTTTAATATTACAAACAAAACATTATAAATTTAAAATTAAATAATTATATATATATATATATATATATATTTTTTTTTTATGACCTCCCGCGGCCCCCCTGCAGTACCCTCGCGGCCCACCAGGGGGCCGCGGACCCCACTTTGGGAGACACTGTGCTACTGCATCTGCTGTTAATTCTACTGCTACTGCTACTACTGCTACTGCTGCTACTGCTGCTACTACTGCTACTACTGCTACTACTACTACTTCTACTACTGCTACTACTGCAACTGCTAGTACTGGTACTGCTAGTACTGGTACTTCTCCATCCAGTCCTAGACTCTTTCTTGGACTCACAGCGCGGGCCGTGCCCTCCAGCGTCCTCAGGCCTCTCTGCAGCTGGTCTCTGGTCTTCATGAGACGATGGTAAATCTGCATGACTAGGACCAGGACCAGACTCCGGACTCGGGTCCAAACACTGGGCTCATCTTCATCATCCTCCTCAAACTGCTGCACCCTCTGCTCCCACTGGAGACCTACAAAGGGGACCAGGTTAGACCAGGACCAAGATTAGGGTCAGCATCAGGATCAGGATCTGGACCTGGACCAGGACCTGGACCAGGATCAGGATCTGGACAGTGACTTCAGAAACATAGTCTATGATTGTGGTGCTAGCGTGAGGTTGTTCTGTTCCACATTTTTAACAAACTCTAAAGAATGGATTCTGTCCATCTTTAAAATGTACTATAGTCCACATAGTACTATAGTCCACATAGTACTGTTGTCCACATAGTACTGTTGTCCACATAGTACTGTTAGTATTAGATGGCAATATGGCCTACGTGCAGGACTGTACAAGGACTCTACAAGGACTCCATGTTATGACTATGATTTGACTGTCTCTTTGTGACACGTATGTCTTTCGATGTGTGACGTGACAATGACTATATAAACTGTGTACTGCCTTTATTCTGTCTGAGAGAAAGAAACAGAGTAAACCAGTGGAACTTGAGAGAAACTTAAATAAACTTCCAGAGTTTGGCGCACCACGATCCGTCTCTGTCTGCTGAATCCTGACAGATTTGGTGGAGAATGCGCGGCTCGGTGTGCGCCATTCTCTGGATTGTTTTGAGGGAGTTTGCTTTGTTTCTTTTTCCTCTGCGTGAGAGACCGGCATGCTGTGTCTGGGAGCGGAGATTCCAGCAGGCTGGAAGAGCTGTTCCTGGATGCTTCTTGTCGCTTCTGTCACTTTTATTTTTTAAATTGAATATTCCGACGCGGAAAAGAAGTTGGCTGACCTCTTGAACAGTCCGGACAAAGAATTAAGGTAAGCAGACACCTTTTTTAATATGTAAAGTCTGCATAATTGGATATTAGCTAAATTGTGGTCTGTTTTTGGGGTCTGTCAAACTCTCTAAATTGTATTGAAAGAAATAGTCTCAGGGTTTAAATCCCTTGGAGCAGTCTCAGGGTTTAAGTCCCTTGGAGCAGTCTCAGGGTTTAAGTCCCTTGGAGCAGTCTCAGGGTTTATGTCCCTTGGAGCAGTCTCAGGGTTTAGGTCCCTTGGAGCAGTCTCAGGGTTTATGTCCCTTGGAGACACACAGTCTCAGGGTTTGAGTCCCTTGGAGCAGGATCCTT